GAAGTTTTGTTAGAGTATTTCCTCAGGAGCTCTGACATTCAGTTATTTTAACACAAAAATTGTATACGATAGATTTAAACTGAACAAGTATGAAAAGCGCTTATCGGTACAAAGTTAATAGGTTGATCCACTACGGCAGCTTCTCTATAATTACTATCTTGTGCCTACTGAACTTGGATAAATCAGACAGGGGGACCGCTGAAAGCTAATACCTAACGCACCAAATGCAAGAGAAGGAATCGAAAACCATTTTACCGAAATATTAGGGAAGAGAAGGAGATTTTTTGGTCCTGAAAATATATCAGATGTGAACTTTATCGCATCTACTAAATGATTGGATTTAAATATTTTACATCATATATATTCTATGTTTTCTTAACATTTTTCTTTATATTTCAGTGCTTGATTGTTCTTTAAACATCTAATGTTCGCAGTTTTGACATTTTTGACAAAGCATTTACCCATTTTGAATATCCAATTCGAATATTTTTTAATAAACGCATGGTCGCACCACTTACTACTTTAAATCTATAATAAAACATACCGAGATACACAATATTATATAAACATTAAAGTGTTGCGCTGGTGCGGTCAAAATTAAAAGATAATAGTGTATAGGTTTGTTTTAACTTTTATTTATATTGTAAGCGCAATAGCGCAACATTTTCGTTTTTATATGTTTAGTGTATATTATAGAAGTAGGAAATGTTGGGAGCATACGCTCATATCGGAATAGCAAGTCAAATATGCGAAAATAGGTAACATATCATTACGAACCTTGGGATTTTTAAAATCAATTAAGTATGTAACGTGCAAAAATCACGTAAGCTTTTTTTTACTATTTCTTTAATGATTTTCTTTTATCAAATTTCATAGTTAATTGATTGCGGCTCAGTATTGTGTTGAAATCTTTTGGACGCTAATGTTATAGTATTTTTTAACGACTATCAAGTCTTCTCTTATGAAGTATCGTTGATCCCTCGTAGTGTTGGTTTTCTAGGGTCCGCTCATTGGCAATCTGCGCCACTCTGTGGTTTCTCTACGTACTAACCTATATAAGAATATTTGGTTTCCTATCAAGATACCTTCTTTTGAAAAGTTAGGTGTGCGCAATTTTCCTTTTTCCTGTAGAGACTGTGGTGCGTGGGTCGTTTCGCTTGTAATAACTTCCAGATTCTGGGATATTAGACCCTCAAACAGCAGTTTATGAAGAAGCGCCTTTTTATTTTGTACCTTACGTTTAGCTGTTTTGGTTTGGGTGCTATCCCCTCCATGTTCTTATGGGATTTTAACCCTCAGGGGACAGTTCTTCTTTAAACCATCGGACCACGTGTATTAATGCATGTCCTGAAGAAGTAGTGGGAAGGTTTTGCGGAGAATCACCATCCACGCTCCTCCAGCTTTGTTTTGTAGCTGCCTTGCAGCTGTTTTGCAGCCCATTTTGCTAGAAGTCTCCCCCTGGACAAAAAACCCTGATGTGAATATGTAAAATATAATTTTAATCGGGTATTTTATAGATATTAATATAGTGATTATTGCTGACTGAAATTCTCAGAGTGCACTTGATTTTGTTTGACATTTTACGTATTCAAATATGGGGCAGTGAATATATGTCACCTTCTTTTGGGCTTACTCCATACATTGACCATGCTTGTGATTTTGAGCTGCCATAACTTTTTACATTACTTTCTTTTACTTTAGTACATTTTTATCTTTTTTTGCGTAAAAAAAGAAATGTACATGTTTTCCTTTTCTTAAGTTCGAGTGTTTAAATGGGTAGTTTTGTCTCAGACAGAGAATAGAGAGTAGATTTTTAAGCAGTCTTTTTCTCTCTAGGGTTTTTTATGCCGTAAACTTTGAGAATGATTCAAGCAAGCAGCCCCTACCTTGTGACGTTCCTCACGTCACCGCCCACTGCTGGCCATTAGTTTGTGACCCGAGCGTTTGCGAGCTGAGCCGTAACTGTGAGAAGACCACTGTCCAGATAAGTCTAGGTTTAGGCGTTAAAATATTTGTAAATCCTTCTTACGTATACTATGGTAAACGTTTTGCAGGGTTGATTATCACGGTCTAATAACACTGGAGAACAAAATTAAAATAATTTTTTGTGACATGGACAAAACAAGGTGGTTATTATGTAAAACGTACCCAAAAAGTCGGACATAGCATTCGATTTTTTCTATCACCCACGGTTTTCTTGTAATAAGGCATTTTATTTGCTGCCCATAGTTGTAAGGTATAAGGATATGTGTGTAAGGGTACTAATAAACACTCGAATAAACATTAATCACAGAATGTTGTTGTTGATGTTTTACGGCGATATGTCCAGCAATATCAGCAAGCAAATTGACACACCATTTGCCTTGATACCGTTTTTCCATAGCAGAAAAGTCTTGTTGGAACCGTTCACCATGTTCATCACTTACCGCACCTTAATTTTCCGGAAAAAAATCGAGATGAGAATCCAAAAAGTGAATTTTTAGAGACATGTTACATCCCATTCCTTTATTAAGCATTAATTAGTTCACTCACAATATCTTTATAATTGTGCACCTTCACATTGCCTAAAAAATTTGCAGTAACTGATTTAAAAGCATTCCAAGCTCGTAATTCAGTTTCATTTAGAGCACTGTCAAATACATCATCCTTCATGATTTTCCGTATTTGTGGACCCACAAATATGCTCTCTTTAATTTTTGCCTCACTATGTTTGTTTTAAATGCTGAAACCCTCTTCCATTTCGATCCATAGCTTTCACAAAATTTTTCATCAGTCCCAACTTAATATGCAAAGGTGGGAGCAACACGTTTTTGGGATCAACTAGTGGTTCATGAGCAACGTGTTTGAGGCCCGGAGTTAATACCTGACGTAGTGGCCGCTCCTTCTGTTCATAATGACGATCTCGCGCACGACTGTCCCATTCACAAAGAAGACAACAATAGTTCGTATTACCTTCAAATCTGCACATATGGCCCATCCATATTCATTATAACGGATATGCTCTAACAGCGTTCGCATATTTTCATATGATTCCTCCATATGAACTGCGTGCGCTGCAGGTACAGGGATCTTCATTACCGTTGTGCATCAATACCGCTTTTAAACTAAGCTTAGAGAAATCAACGAACAGGCGCCAATCAGTTGGATCATGTTCCTGTCCTAACGCGTCAAACAAATTGTTGGCATCGGAGCAATATATCAACTATCTTTCTTGACGGAAACAGTGTGTGATGTCTTGTTGCCGTTTTCGGTAAAAAGTAATGTTAACATCCTTTTAATCTTGCAGCTTAAAGTTATGACTGGGATTTTGACAGATTTAAATCTTGAACTAAGTCATTCAGTTCGTCCTGTGTGATCAAATGCGGCGCTGTTGAACATCCTGGCAGGTCAAGCGAAGGATCGAAAATTTTTACACTATCTGTACCATCACTTTCAGAATCGGTGGATTCGACTTTTTCATCCAAAGTCCAAGATTCTGGTGGAACTCGGACAGAAATTTCATCACTATGCTTAACGGGCCGCAAAGCTGATGGTAAATTAAAATTCTTAACAGTATGATTCAATTTTGTTCCAATGCTATTAACATTTTTGAGGCAAAAATAGCAATCAGTAGTATGGTCTCTCGGTTCTCTCCAAACCATTGGTACCGCAAAGGGCAATTTACGATTGTCGCCTCTTAACCAACCTGTTAACAACGTTACACAAGTCTTAAAACATATATGAGGGGCCCATAGTTTATCTTGGTCGCCAACTTTAATTCCAAAGTAAAGTTCGTATGCTTTCAACATAAGGGGAGTAAAAGTACGATTTTGGGATTTAAAAGTTAGCTCTCCGCGCACATAACAGAAACTGTTCGCACTATTTAGACAATTTCTAGGCACTGTCTCGATCTCAATAAACTAAAAACAATACACCGTTTTAACAAAAACTAACACTAACTCATAATATCTCAGTACTCTTCAACACAGAAAACGTAATTGACTCGGCTGCTATTAGTCTACTAATAAACGCAATATGCTCTCTAAGCATAGAGCTCGCATATAATGAACCGAAATAGACAGGTCTTAACATTATATACGTGCGTCATCGCATAAACGCCGAGAAATGCAGCAATATGAGATGTAAGGTATTGTAATTCATAAAAATAGATGTTACCGAATATCTGTGGGTGATAGAAAAAATATGTTTTTAGATTTGATTTAAGGGTCTCAAAATACATAAGATACACCCAAAAATTGTCATGTCACAAATCCTTTGTTTATCAGTGTAATTTTATTGTGAGGCAGTTTAGTAATAATATCCTTTTTTAGCTTGCACTCCAGTGGCCGAGCATATGTACTGTTTGTGTTCCGTACCTCATGTCCTGCCACTGCGTGAAGCGCCCTGCACGTCCTACCAATGAAGCCAAGTGTACCAGAGGAGTGGGGGAATCGCGGGAAGACGCCGTCTTGGTCACGTAGACACTCACCACATGTCTTCCCATGGACAAACAAGCCGTCGCATCATTTTATATTATGAAATCACAGACGCATTTGTATCACTGAATAAATCCAACTATTAGAACCAGTGCCTATTTTCTGACAAAACGCCACATGGACCTTCGAGCCTGATGGGATCTATGGAAAACACGAAATAGTGCAGCTGAAAAGAGAAACTGCGGGTGGACGCCAAGCAGCCCGTGTGCCCTAGCGCAGCGATCAAGAAACGTTGAAAAAGTGTGAGGTCAGTTCCTTTATCACTTTCCTTAATATTTCCTATGCAGTATTGACTCTAAAGCGAACCATTATTTGCCCTAGTGCACATTTAATACAGTATCTGCCCTGGTGCACATTTAATACGTTGCTTGCCCTAGTGCATATTTTAATTCGTTAGTACATTACATACTTCAGGTTTGTTGTTTAACAAGTGTATTGACACATTATATAGTACAGTCCATACAGTCCACACATTTCGTTAAATGCTCTAAAGCACTTTAATCACGATTTATATACGCAAACACGATGACTGAATCAGAGGTTTCTGATGTTAGAGCCTTGATAAGACGACGCGGTATATTTAAAGCGAAATTGACGCTTTTTGAGAAATACATACACGATGTTGAAAGCTTGGATGACGATACGAGGGGCAAGTCAAGGATAGTCGAATTGGAGCAACGTATAAATAACTCTAAAGCTCTACTTTCTGGGTTTGATGAAGTACAGTCTCAGATCGAATGTGAGGTAGAAGACGTAGAGGAACAGTTTACAGTCCGGGAAGACTTCGAAAACAAATATTACACAATAATATCAAACGCGAAGTGTATATTAGAAAGTTTTGATAAAAATTCTATACGTTCTTGTTCTTCTCAACATGAAAAAACGATCACAATGGAGGGTATCAAGCTACCCGAGATCAAACTGCCCAAATTTGATGGAACTTACGAAAATTGGATGGGTTTTAGAGACATGTTCGAATCTATGATTCATAATAATGCGCAAATCAACGACATTCAAAAATATCATTATCTCCGTGCCTCACTTATTGGTACGGCACAATCAGTTATTCAATCCTTTGATTTCACAGCTGACAATTATGTCAAAGCTTGGTCCACACTGTGCGACAGGTTCGACAATAAGGAACTTTTAGCCCAGAACCTCTTAAAGGCTATTTTTACCCTAGAAATTTCAGGTAATGCGACTGCTAGCAAAATTAGACAATTTTATGAGGCATTTTTGACACATTTGAGTAGCCTCAAGCGATTAGGTGAACCAACTGAGTCTTGGGACACACTTTTGATTCACATTTTTAAGTCAAAATTAGATAAAGGTACAGCCAATGAATGGCAGAGGTATACAGCAGGTCATGCAGGTGTTACATTAAACGATTTTACAGAGTGTCTCAAAAGACGAGCGAACTTATTAGAAACGTTTGAATCCAGTTTTGATCACAATAATGAGAAAAAGGGTAATGCGTCCCACAAACCCAATGCAGATGCACAAAGATATATCAAACCGAGGTATCCCTGTCGAACTTTGTTAACTCGCAATGATACTGATAAGGCCAGTTCTGACATAAAGCCAAAATATGCTTGTTATCACTGCAATGGTGATCATACGTTGTTTTATTGTCAAGCATTTCAGAAAATGTCAATAAAGGATAGAATTGCTAAGGCTAAATGTTTAAAATTATGCTTGAACTGTCTTAAAAGAAATCATACAACCAGAGATTGCAAATGGGCAGGTTGTAAAATTTGTAGTCTTAAACATAACACTGTCTTGCACAATCCAAATGAGACCCCTGTCTCTCCTGTTAACTCAGCTGTCGTCGTAGAGCATAACAACTTTTTTCAGCATGAAGAAAATTTAGAACAATCATTAGACGACAATGAGGTTGCTACTAGTCATTGTACATTGGCAACTATGAGAAATGGTATCTTACCTACTGCAAGGGTGAAAGCATATAGTACTGCCAATTCTAAACATCATGCTGTTGTTCGAGCGTTATTGGACTGCGGTTCACAGTCGAGCTTTATAACCTCACGCCTTTGCGAAAAACTGAATTTAACTAAAACTAAGCAAAAATTAGCGGTATCTGGTATTAACGACAAATTGACTTATGCAAATTACAAATGTGACATAATAATAAAGTCCAGTGTAGGTTCTTATTCGTTTAATCTCTCATGTTTTGTGCTGGACAAGATTACCACCGACATTCCCGATGCTCCAATAAATGCCAAATATCTAAATATCCCTGTTAATATCGAGTTAGCCGATCCAGAGTTCTATGATCCGCAATCCATTGACGTTTTGATCGGAGCAAATGCCTTTTGGGATCTCTTAAGCTTGGGACGAATCAATTTAGGTACTAATTTGCCTACATTACAGAATACCCGGTTAGGTTGGGTTGTTCCTGGATCAATGGATATACCTACGACAAAATCGCATTGTGGGTTGACCAGAAATATTTTGGTCCAAGACCAACTAGCTAAATTCTGGGAAGTTGAGGAAGTAGATCCAAAAAAACCCTGGTCGGTAGAAGAGACTTTATGCGAAGAACATTTCGTAAATCACTTGACAACTTCTGAAGAAGGTAGATATGTAGTATCTCTTCCACTTAAGGACTCTCCGGCAAAACTTGGCGAGTCTCGTGACATTGCAGTCAAACGATTCATATCACTTGAACGAAGGTTAATGACCAATGAAAAATTCCGGAAATTGTATATAGACTTCTTAGATCAATACGGGAATTTAGGACATGTGACAGAGATCACGTGCGATGGAAAGGATGATACGGAATATTTTATGCCGCACCACGGGGTGCTGAAAGAATCCAGCTGCACCACAAAATTGCGCGTTATGTTTAATGCGTCGATGCCTACATCTAGCGGTTTACCTTTGCACGATTTACAGATGACAGGTTCTATCATTCAGCAAGATCTTTTCAACATTATTATTAGATTTCGTTTGCGATCCGTTGTACAGTCTAGTGATATAAAGATGATGTACAGACAAGTATTGATGAATCCTGATCAGCGTAAATTACAGAAAATTGTATGGCGTTCAAATCCCAATGAACCACTTAAAACATTTCAATTGAATACCGTCACATACGGAACTACAGCGGCATCCTTTTTAGCGATCAGATGTTTACATCAAATTGCTGATGAGTGCGAAACTGGGCACCCAACCATATCGAAGATCATCCGAAACGATATGTACGTCGATGACGTATTAACTTCTGTCAATACTGAGGATGAAGCTTGTTATATAAAAGATCAGATTTCACGGATATTACTCCAGCGGGGTTTTGAACTGAGAAAGTGGAAATCTAACAGTAAAAACTTAACCAATGATTCCGGCAAAGAATATTCGCAGAATATTGTGGAATTTTCAGCAAACAAAGATCACGAAACTAAGACTCTAGGTCTCTCTTGGAAATGCGATCAAGATGTTTTGAAATATAAAATAAACGTGAACAAGGTACAACATACTCAAGTCACGAAACGGACCATTCTTTCCAGAATTTCGACTATTTTCGATCCTTTGGGTCTAGTTAGCCCTTGCATAATAATCGGCAAAATATTATTACAGAAACTTTGGTCTGAAAAACTTACCTGGGACCAGCCGTTACCGAGTCATGTTCTTAAAGCATGGTCTGAGTTTTCGACTGATTTAGATGCATTAAACCATTTGTTAGTCGAACGACAAGTAACTTGTACCAATCCATCCTACATAGCACTGCACGCGTTTGCCGATAGCTCGGAATCTAGTTATGGAGCATGTGTTTATGTCGTTTCAAAAAACGCAAAGGGAACTGCATCGTCAAATCTACTGTGCGCAAAGTCAAAGGTAGCCCCTCTCAAATCTTTGACGATGCCACGACTGGAATTGTGCACCACTCTAGTCCTGTCTCAATTGACAGAAAAGGTCATAAACACCCTTGATATTAAATTTGCTCATGTTTATTGTTGGTCGGATTCAGCCATCGTGTTGGGTTGGCTACAAACATCTCCAAACCTACTAAAGCCATTTGTTGCGAACCGCGTAGCCGAAATTCAGAGACTTACCGAGACCTTCGAATGGAGACACGTACCTACATGTGATAATCCAGCGGATATCGTATCAAGAGGTCTTAATCCCAAACAACTACTTCATTCCAAGTTATGGTTTCACGGACCCTCTTGGTTAAGCAGTCCAGATGACTGGCCTGTAATGCCGATTTCGCCTGTGGAATTACCTGAACAAAGAAAACTTTGTTTCTTATCCAAGGTCAAGTTTCACTTTCCATTTGAACGATTTTCTAATCTCGTAAAATTGAAGCGATCCTTTGCCTATATTCTGAGATTCATTGAGAATTGTAAATCCAAGTCGAGAAATAGCGCTCTTTTAACCGCGGATGAGCTTAATATCAGTTTAACTCATATGATTCGCCTTTCTCAAAAGGAGGCATTTCCCGAAGAGTATAATATACTGCAAGCCAAAGGTCAGTTAGCTTCAAATAGTAAACTATTGAACTTACATCCCTTTATGGATGAGCAACAAATTCTGCGTGTGGGTGGCAGACTATCAAATTCAGATTTTCCTTACGCGAAGAAATATCCAATTTTGTTATCTCCTAGTCACCACCTAACGAACCTTATTTTTGACTATCAGCACATCAGTTTAATGCACGCAGGTCAACAATTAGAGACAATTACTGGCCTACGTCTGGGCGAAACCTTGCTAGAAAGATTGTTCGAAAGTGCGTAGTTTGTTCAAGACATAACGTACAAAGTGTTCAGCCTATGATGGGTGACTTACCTGAACCTCGCGTACGACCAAACTTACCTTTCTCTTCCATAGGTGTAGATTTCGCCGGACCCTTCATAATGAAAAATAAGCGCGAACGTGGCTGCAAGCCTATAAAATGCTGGGTAGCGTTGTTTATATGTATGGCCACTCGAGCCATTCATTTAGAGTTAGTACTGTCTTTGACTTGTAGCGATTTCCTTCAAGCTTTCAATCGGTTCATCAGTAGACGTGGTAAACCACATGTGGTCTATTCAGACAATGGGACCAACTTTGTCAAGGCTAATAAAGAACTCAGAGAAATCGGTGAATTCTTGCATAACAATTCTGCCAATATTTACACATCCACTAGTAACATGGGAATCACTTGGCATTTCATACCCACTAATTCTCCACATTTTGGGGGCATTTGGGAAGCGGGTGTCAAAAGCTTGAAACACCATTTACGACGAGTCGTGGGAAGCCATTCTTTATTCTTTTTTGATTTTCAAACTTTAATCACTCGCATAGAGTCTGTACTCAAGTTCCGACCTATTTCCCCAATGAGTTCTAACCCTGATGACCTAACCCCCCTTACACCCTCACATTTTCTGATTGGGAGACAACCAGCATCATCGCCAGAGCTACCAGTTGCCGATGTGAGAGAAAACCGTCTCGCCAATTACCAGCTACTACAGAAATTGTACGAGCACTTCTGGGTCCGATGGAGCCGCGAATATATTAGCGAGTTGCAGCAACGGCATCGTTGGAAGCAGAATCATGGACAGTTACAAAAGGGCCAGCTAGTTTTGGTGAAGGATGACAATTTACCTCCCATGAAATGGCGATTAGGCCGTGTTGAAACCCTGATTCCAGGAAAGGATGGCATCGCCAGAGTAGCAGTTCTTCGAACTTCCGATGGGACCATCACCAGGGCATTAGTTAGACTCTGCCCGTTACCTGTTGTCGGTTAACACCTCCAAGGCCGGGGGCATGTTCCGTACCTCATGTCCTGCCACTGCGTGAAGCGCCCTGCACGTCCTACCAATGAAGCCAGGTGTACCAGAGGAGTGGGGGAATCGCGGGAAGACGCCGTCTTGGTCACGTAGACACTCACCACATGTCTTCCCATGGACAAACAAGCCGCCGCATCATTTTATATTATGAAATCACAGACGCATTTGTATCACTGAATAAATCCAACTATTAGAACCAGTGCCTATTTTCTGACAACACGCCACAGTTTGACTATATAATATACTGTGTTTTTTTTAAATATCTTGTTTTATTTGGCTCACTGTGTACATTAATTAGCTTTCATCATTACTGTTAGATTATTTTCTTTTGTGTGGTGGTGAAGCAGAACAAGTTCCGACTAACATCTCGGGGATTTGTGGCTTAATCTGTCTCAAGTCACTGGCGCTCTTAACCTCCCCTCCTCTCCGCTTTATTGAGCTAGTGCCTAAATTTGCACGCCACTAGACAGCTGTTTTGCATTGACCGACCCTTAGATTTCAGTTATCGTGCTTTAGTAATTTATTAATTGAAAAAAAGGAAAGAGGAATCATACCACCATTTCTTCTTATTTATAAAAAAAAGGCGTGGCAAATTTCGTGGCGCCCAACGTGGTAAAGGTCCAATATAGTAAAGACTTAAGGCCTTAAATGGTTCTGTTATATCCGAAAATTCGCTCATTGAACCGACTGGTGACTTCTGTTCTACTTTATTCTGGGCACAACAAGTACAACATCAGCCCCTTTATCTTAGGCCAGTAATAAGTTTGCTAAATTTTACCATAAGTTTGACCAGATGTTGGAACATCATGACAGCGCTGGAGAATGTTCTCTATTTTTTCCTTTTGGACCATTACATTCCAATCATTTGAAGGAGGAGAAAGATGAGGCATTGGTCTTACCAATTTATAAAGTATGCTGTTCTGCTTACGCCACAGAGGAAATTTTAATGGGTTATCTTCAACATTCTGGAGCACTTTTGAATACTATTTATCATTGGCAGTCGTCGGAGAATAATATGTTGGGTCAACAAAAAATACTGAATCAATAGGCACGGGTACTGCTCGAGACAGAAAGTCGGGAACTATGTGATCTTTTCCTTTACGATGGATTAATTCAAAATCGAACTGCTGAAGACGCAATTCTCAACGGGCAAGGCGACCTTGAAGATCCTTTAATTTATAAAGCCACAACAACGAAGCATAGTCTGTAATTACCTTGAAATGTACACAACTTAAATAATGATCGACCAAATAACGGCAACGCACTCCTTTTCCTAACTGACAGTTCCAGTTCCTGTTTAGTTAAATACCCAGAACGGTAAAATATCACCTTTTCACCTTCCTCGAATTGTTGGATTAAAACTGCTCTTAAACCATAGTTTGACGCATCAGTTTGTAAGTAAAGTGTTCTACCGAAATCAGGGGCAGATAAAATGGGGGCGGTGACTAGACGTTCTTTAAGTTCAGTAAAATGCTTTCTGACAATTTGGGTCCAGTTCCACTTGACGTTTTTCTTCGTACTGTCCTACTTTTTGGCAATTCCAGCAAGTAACCCCACGCGATGAATCGTTTTGGGAGACCTTAGATGCCTCACTGACCTCAGCAACTTTATTTGCATTTTCAATTTCGCGAGAGGTAGAAGGATGTGGACTTTCCACCTCTACGAATGCAAAATCGGGGTCAACAAACTCTTGGCACTTTCGAGATGGAGGTGCATAATTCTCAACTCTATATATCTTAACCTCAAGCTTAAGACATTCGACCTCAAGTTCTTCCAAGGTACTAATAACTGGGAGCTGGGTAGTATAGATTTGTGACAAGTTCCTACATAAAATATCTAACTGAAGCTTTTCTGTTAGATCACAATAACGCCTAAATAGTCCCTGCATACAGGACAAACAATCAATCATACTCTCTGATGTATCTTGTATTCTCTCTAAGAGCTCTTTAAAAAGTCTATCACGAAAATCAGGAGGTTCAAAATGACGTTTTAACAAATCAGCTAAGCTTTCCTAATCAGTGACTCTATTTCAATTTGCCCTAAACCAGTTTAACGCTTTCCCAGTAAAATATCTATAGCCGAGTCAAACAACTGTTTTTTAGTTACGTTGCGAGCTGACCGTAGTTCACTAACCCTTTCTAAAAAGTTATGGGCAGAAGGTTGTTTTATATCGACGGAAAATAGTTCCATTTCTCTATGTTTTGAGGTTCCGGTGGAGCAGTTTTAACGATGGGAGGTCTGGATCTGAATTATGGGTAGGAGCTCTCTGGCAAACCAAATTTTCATGAAAATTTTTAAAAGGGGTATTTAATTGAGGATCTTGTCTAGATGCCATCTTTAAATTCGATTAATACGGTTGAGGAGGTGGACCAACTTAGATTGAGTTGTAAGAAATTTGTTACAGGCGCCCTCCTCTGAAAGTGTACTGGTAGTATCATTTGCCTCATCCAGAAATAACCTAATCTGCACCTCCTCATCGTCTAACTTAAGGTTATGTGGTCTAAATTTAAAGTTCCAGCTTTTTCCAACTTTAATAGAGAGCGTAAAGTACTTCTCAACTGTATGACTTTCGTCAACAGCAACACCACGGACTAAGCTCATGAAGTAACATCTCTTTCTTGAGGTGACCCACTTCGATTTTAAAATCCATCTTACCGACAAACAAACTAGTCGTACACCAACAAGAGAGAAAGAGAAAATGCATTAATCAATAATACCAATATCAAGTAATACAATCAACAATAAAGTAAAAAAGTCAGTCCGAAAATTTCAATAAATGTTTAAAGGTCTGTTCAAAAGATTGAACAAATTATTTGGCTCTCTGTGTACAATTATTAGGTTTCGTCATTACTGTTACAAATAAATAAAGTAAAATATTGGTGAAAGCTTAAAATAGCGATGTTCTAAAGTAATGATGGATCAAGGATATGATTTCTCAAATAATTGTATGAAGAAAAGTTCATATGAGCATATGTCCGCAGCAGCATTTTAGCTACACGGTGCTTTTGAAAAAACTGGATTGTCCAGTGATGCCGTATGGAGGGTGACCTACCAGTCTGCACCTATACGCTTATACTATACACACAAAACAATACATGGAAAGAAGAGTAAAAATGTGTAGTATGTACGAGAGTTATTTTTTAAGTAACAACCGTTTTGTAAATTGTATCACAAATAGCAGTATGAATTTTTTTTCATTTTTTAACATAGTCACCATAACCATTTAAATATGTGTTAAGTCGTGACACCAGTTTTTGGACCCCATCGACGATGCTGCTGCCTGACCGTTAAACCAGTTAGTAACTGTTTCTTTCAAGATATCATTATGTTCCAAGTGTTTCCCATTAAGAAATTGTATAAGTTTTGGAAAAAGGTGGAAGTCCAATAGAACTAAGTCAGGGCCATATGGTAGATGGTCCAATAATTTCCAACGAAACTTATCCTGTAACGACGCAGCGAGATAGCAGCCCCCGCCGGCGGTTTTGGATAACGCACCTAATTCTACAAGCGGCTGGTAAATTGCAGCATGGGGAAGCTTTTTTGCGTTTAAAAACTGAATTATTGAGAGCGCTTCACGAAGTCGGTTTACTGATTGACATAGCGAAAAAAAAAGCAGTAAAACCACACAAACAATACCGGACAGAGTCGTGAAACCTAAAGGTGGCGTAGTGAGAGACTGACCAGGAGTGTCTCAGGTTGAACGACCGTCACATGACAGGACCCGCGGGCACGATGCGTGATTGGTTCTTACGTGTAAAATGGCTCTCGTATGTAGTTTTTAACAAATTTTATTCAATGAAAATATTTTTAGAAAGGCCGTCAGATCGGTGAGAGTCGAACTTATTATAGACCCTGTACTAATATGTTAATGAATGCAAATTCGGTAAACTATACAATACATATACATACAATATACAACTTCGAATAAGGTGACCAGTACGTCTCTTGTGGTATATCTTCAACCAAGCTCAAATTTCAAAAATCGATCATGCAAATAAGGGAGGTGAATTGATACAGGAGAGTAATTATGTCCCGTATGCACGACTCTATCGACGCAAAGTAATATTTGTAGATTTTTTTCATCATGCTACGTGTTCCATTTATATTTTAACTTAAATCATGTAAATTGTTGCATGCGTTATACTGTTAAGGCGGATTTCCACCAAACGGACTCGCTTGCAACTAGTTTCAGTTTCAAAAACAGAAACAATAATCTTGTTGTACTATAGTTTCGAAAACAAATTCGAATTCCACCAAACAAACAAAAAAACTAGTCTTTCGCGTGTTTTGTTTTGAAGTGTTTTCCTTCGTTTCCACTACACGAACAGTTTTCATCATGCCTTCTCTAGACGATGTTTTTATAATGGCGTGCGGTTTTTTTATAATCGAATCTTTTGAGCAAAAGAAGCGAAAGTGAAAAAGACCAAGATACTGGATGAGATCATTCTTAAGAAGACGACTAGATTATGGAACGGACAAAATTATGGCAGATTTGGTAAATGATGACATAGGAATAAGTGGAGAACTGAGATCGTCATTTCATAATTTTGTAAGAATGTCCAATCACGAATTTGAGAACTTGTTAAATCTACTGGGACCAAAAATTTGCAAACAGAATACAAATTACCGAGATGCTATATCTGTGAAAGATCGACTGGCAATAACCTTAAGATTTTTAGCTACTGGTGATAGTTTTAAAAGTTTAATGTATATGTTTAAAGTCTCTAGTTCTTCAATATCACGAATTGTGCCGGAAGTATGTGATGCTCTTTGTGAGGTTCTACAGGAATATGTTAATGTAAGTACAAATGTAATACAAAAATCATTATTTTTAAATGTTTACATAAACTAAATATATATCATCTTTCACATGAGTAAATATTATCGCAGCTTCATTTATTTATTGTTTGTACCAAATGAGTTTGTTATTGCCCAGCTCAAGCCATCATTAGTTTCATAAGTATGAGTTTCTTCAGAATGAGGAGACGCCGACGCTGACGGGACACTATTATCAGAAGATGAAGTATATGAATAATAACGTCTAAGAGAAGAATGTTGAGGAAAGTCATATTTTCCAATTTGGGCATCGTATAAAATATTATGTATTTGGTGTTCAACTGTAGCCTTTGCAAAATCTGTTTTCAAGTTACGTATTGTATGTCCTACTAGTTCACCTAATATTGAGTATTTGTCACGTGTTTCGATTGTCTGTGTTTTTTGATACACGGATTTCATCATTTCAAAGGCTTCTTTAGCAGAAGTACTCGTATTAACAGTATCTACTAGTTTGGAACTCTTCTTAGCAGCTTTCGGAGCTGACAAATGCTGTTTAGATGGTCGTTCTTCTGTGCCCTCTTTTGTGTTTGGTGTTTTAAATGGTTCAGTTTCTGGTGAATTCAGAACGTCAGACACCGAAGACCCTTGTTGTTCTATGTTTTGCTCCCAGATCTCCTGTTCCTGGTTTTCTATCTGAACGTCTGAAACATTAGCATCCAATTCATGCATACTCTCATTGGCGCTACGTGTCAATTCACACGTTTGAATCTCATTGTCATCACTGTCTTCACTGCTTGATGGGTTGCTATCCTGAAATAATAAATTTAGTATTAATATACAGGGTGGTTCACTCTGCAGTAGCAGGACATTAATACTTGGTTGAAAAAGACACAGAATGTCGAAAATAAGAAGTTTAAATAAAGTTAAGCAGCTTCTTTTTCAAAATAAACATTATTTTGTAATATCTCAAAATCAATAAAATAAATTTATTTGCATCTGCCTACTTCATAAAGATGCATAACAGGACGTAAAGAAATAATTATATTTTTAAAAATCAAAAACCAATGGCCGAAGGTGCGAAAAAGACGAGGCCATTGTTTAGCAACTCTTGAGAACAAAAAAATTATTTTTATTGTGAAAAAAGGAGTGGCGCAGACAATCGGAAGATAAAACAATTATATTATCATAGTTTTTGATATTTTAAATGGAAAAACCTGTATAGTTTTGTTTTTTTTTTGGTTGCTCAGCAGAATATTTTCTATTTATACTGTGATAATATTTATATAATTAATTAATGTTATTAAATCATGCTAAGCTTTGCTGGGTAGTGGTTTGTATATATATATATATAGTGTAATGGTTTGTATATATATATACATATATATATATATATATATTATATCTATATATTATTTGTTTCAGGCGTGTTCGGGTTATTAGCATCTGTTTTTCGAGTACCTCGAAAACCTATGCTACTAGAACACTCAAAAGCAGAAAAGGTGGTCCTAGCATGCTGTATTATCAGATCAGCTCCATGTCACTAATATTGCAATGTGAGATTAGATGTTCACTATATTGGATTTAGAATGATACCGCTTTACATATTGTTCTTCTCTCGCCAAGCCTTTTCATTTGGTACCTATATCATAGGGGCTGTGGTAATGATAAATCTCTATTCTGTGGAAGCCGCCATATTGCATTTATAATGACGCTACTTTACTTATTGCGTTTCGTTTGGGTCCCATATATAAAAATTATAATTTGCCATTTTGCAGCGGTCGCGGATTCATAACGTGACATTGATCATTACGCTTCTCCCATCAAGCCCTTTCATTTGATACTAATATTATACGAGTGGTTATGGAAATTATGCACGCCATCTTCGGAGGTCACCATATTGGATTTATTGTGATTGGCTCGTCAAGCGTTTTCATTTGATACCCAAACTACTGTGGTAATGATAAATCACATTTTGGATTTATAATCACGTCACTTTGCTTATTGCGTTTCTCGCATCAAGCCGTTTCATTTAAAACTCCTATCATATGAAAATTACCTCAAATCGCCGTCTCTCGGCGGCCACCATATTGGATTTAGCATGACGTCACCTTGATTATTGTATATCTCTTCCAGGCTCTTCCATTTGAATTCGGATAATAGGGAAATGACGGTATTCAATTCATATTATGTTGTCACGCAAACCAAACGCATATACAAATCTTCAGTTCAACTGCTTAAGGCGAACTGGTTAAAAATTCAATTTCAGGACTTTTTCCGCACATACTAACAGGTAAAGCTTTTGCATCGTGTTTAAGATATGTAAGACCCTTTGAAGCATTGTACCTTATGTGTTAATATAAATACTACTACACGGTAATGATAATGACAGAAAAGCGAAATGAACTGATCTGTGAGATAATCTGTCGTTATGAGTATGGCAACAGATATTTCAGTGATAAAAAGGTGTTGATGCAAGCTTATTCAACTATATTAATCAACACCGAAGTACACCCATCATGGCCATATACACAACTAATTAATTTAATTAAATCTTTGGATCTATTATTGGCGATGATGGTTATTTTTTTTATGTTTAAGTTAAAACCTGCATTGATATTGGGGTGTCATTCTACAATAAATTAAAGTGTATTAGCCCAGTTAACACATGCTTCAAGAAAATAAAAAAAGTGGCGTCAAGTAGATTAACTGTGCAAGTAACGGCGTTATCAGGTCACAAAGGATTATATTTAGCACAAACTATAAGAAAAAAGTCAGTCAAACAGGTCCATACAATTAGTCCATAGACATTCTTTCCCTGCCCTACCGGTAGTGCGTCAGGAACCGCGCCTATCCCCGATATTTAAATCGGCCAGACGTGGCAATGCGGTCAGGGCATAAGAAACATTATTCTGTCGCACATCAGAGATACGTGGAATACCATATCAGAACAACAGAATACTCACCAGGGCCACCGACGCGCTCCGGGAGCAGTAGCTTCTGCCGGTAGGTACGCGATCCGTCTGATGAGAATATTTTCTCAGTTTTAAGGGCAAATGTACGGAGAAATCTATGATGTGTGAAATGTCTAATAGATGCGTAGAATTACTAAGGTTGGGAGCATATCAATGTACTAACATAAAAAAATTGAGATAAAGCCTCCCCGACCCTACAACCCTAACTCCCAACTTTGCCTCTTACCTTGCCTATTTTTTTTCAAAAATGATCAGGATCCTCTGAAACGCAAAAAAAAAGTTAAAACGATTTTCATTAGTTTTCATTTTTGGCCGTTTTCTCTGCCTCCGCTGGACCGATTTTGAAAAACTTCAAAGTTTTTGCGTCCCTGGCGTGGTAGGGGGGGGGGGTATTAAGAGCGCCAGTGACTCAAGACGGATTAAGCCACAAATTCCCGAGATGTTAGACGGAACTTGTTTTGCTTGACCACCACACAAAGAAAAAATCTAATACTAACGATGAAACCTAATTAACTGTATACAGAGAGCCAAATAAAACAAGATATCTAAAAACGAATCACAATATATTGCCAAAACAAGCAGCACATAATACTCCACCACTGGAATGCAAGTTAAAAGAAAAGATGTTATTAAAAACTACCTGACAATAAAATTAATAGACTGTAATAACTAACCCTGCAAAACGTTTACCATGGTACACGTACGAAGGCCTTACAAATATAGGTCTTACAAATATTTCAACGCCTAAACCTAAACTTATCTGGACGATGGTCTTCTTCCAGTTACAGCTCTAGGCGTAGGTATGATGTTCTCAGCTCTCAAAAACTCAGGTCAAAAATCAGTAGCCAGTAATGAGCAGTGGCGTAAAGAATGTCACAAGGTAGGGACTGCTTGCCTCGTTCTCAAAATTTATGGTAAAGAAAAACCCTAGAAAGAGAAAAAGACTGTTTAAAAATGTACTCTCTACTCTATGTCTGAAACAGAACTACATATTTAAAAGACTTAAAACTTGAAGAAATATCCATGTACATTCTCTTTTACAAGAAAAATACTTTTCTTTCTGCAAGGGCTAGAAAAGATAAAAATTTACAAAAGTCATATACCCTCAGAAAGTTATCCCTTGTTCTAAAATAAGTTATGCTAGCTCAAAATCCAAAATCATGATTAATGGAATCTAATAAGCCCAAAAGACAGTGACATGTACAGTTCGAGTCACATAACTTTTAATGCACGTCAAAGGCTTCAAATCACCAGTGATGCCATACATCTTCAAAATTGGTATGTTGTAAGAATTCTCAGCATTCGTCATCTTTCTCATTCTCTCTGCTTAGCATGTAAGTTGAGAGTGACGGAAAAATTACGTATTGAGGTAAGTCGGAGATAAGTCGATATTGAAATACCGCGGAACACATTACAGAAGATAGGCTTTGGCAATATGAACTGTCATGTCAAATGGGAAACATCCTGTGGTATCCTAATATCATGTTTCCTGTATTCTGGTATTTTTAACCTCATAGTTGAACGTCAAAATGACGATATGATATTATTTACGACATGCCGTAAACTTGCGAATTCGACAAAATAAGCCTGTGCATAAGCGGCAACCATGTAGACATATTTGTAGTCGGTGATACATGCTAATATATCTTCTTCATTTTCTAGCACATTAAATTTATATGACTTGCCATTTTACGTAAATCGACCACCAATCGTGGCTTTTTGTGACGTGAATAAAAAGATATGTGATTTCTACTATAGGCACTACTCTACACTATATTTGAATTAGTAAAATGCCAAACAAAATCAAGAACATACTAAGAACTTCAGTCAGCAACAATCAATATATCAATATCTATAAAATACCCAATTAAAATGATATGTTACCTGTTCATCAGGGTTTTTATAAAGCGGAAGAGATGGCTTCCAACGAAATCGGCTGCGAAACAGCTACAAGGCAGCTACAACACAAAGCTGGAGGAGTGTGAATGGTGGTTCTCCACAATGGCTTTCCACTAAGAGGAATCAGATATTCAACAAACTTCTTCAGGACAAGCATTAAAGGACGTAGTCCGATGGTATAGAGAATAGAGAATAGAATATAGAGAACTTACCGCTGGAGGTTAAAATCCCATTACAAAATGGACGGGGTAGTACCCTAACCAACACTAAACGTAAGGTGCAAAATAAAGGGGTACTACTCCTAAACTGGTGCTTGGGCCATTAATATCCCAAAATCTGGAAGTTAACGAAAAATAACGCTCACACATAACCAAAACGTCCAAAACTACAGCAGAAAGTAAAATGGCGCTAGACCGTCTGCGCACGCAACCCCCTAAACGAAGGTTAACTAATTGCCCTGAAGAATGTTCGACAGAACATCAAAAGGAACTGATAAAAGTCGGTAAAGAAGGTATCTTGATAGGAAGGTAAACATTCATATACGGCTAGTACGTATAAACATCATAAGATGGCGCGCTGGTTGCCGATGGGCAGAAACAAATCTGTCTACATGAGACCAACAATATTTATGAGGAAATTTCTCAGATAGAATAAAGATTTCAATACCATATTGAAATCAAATTCAAGCGGATAACCAAATGGAAATGGTATTACCATTTTGGGTTGGTATTTACCAATCCGTTCAAGCGAGTGTAGTTATCAGTTTGGTTATCAGATCCGTGACGTCACGAATCAGCTGTTATATGTCATAGTTATCACCGCAAAATTGTGGTATTTACCCAACTCAAGAGTAGTTTTATATTTCTGGTTATTATTTGAAATGTAACAAGTTAGAATTTTTCCGGGTATTGGATATTGTTATTGTACTTCAGCTTCATTTTTGAGAAAAATGATACAGGCTGACTTCAGTTTTACCATAAAGTGGAGCACCTTATTAGTTATACTCATTACGGTTGTCGGGGACACTTTAAATGTAGTTCCTATGCTTAACAAAGTATCCTGTGTAGCCATATACCACAAGAATATTAAAATATGGCCTTATAAACTCACTAGATGATATCCACCTGTATACGGTTTTGCTAATTTCTTTTTCCATCATTTCTAGTGAATCAATAAATGTTTTCTTTGACATGCGGAAAAATTTAGAGAATTGAAGGTTATCATAGCTACAAAGCCATGGTTCCATCATTAAAAAAAAATCTGAAAAAAACATTTCTCCCATGAATATTATGAAAGGTTTCTTATTTAAACTTTCCATATACAGTTGTAGACGAAAAAGCACCGATTATTAAGTGATAATAAAAATAATCAGAGGTTATATACGCGCTTTTCTAAAATAAACAACTTGCAACAAAACCGCGGTTAAAACCAACGCGTTCAAGCGATTCGTGTAACTGACGTCATCAACCCGTGTGTCATCTTGAACCATATTATAACCGCGGCACATAACACAGAAATTCTGGTTATTCGCTTGGATTTGATTTGAGTCGCTGAGAATGACAGATATGATAGGTGTGAAATTCTACAATCAATAAACAATGAAATTTGACAAAAGAGAATCATTGAAAAAGGTTTGGCCTAGGAATCGGTACTCTATAATCAATGGAGAGAAATCAAAATCACTCATAAGTGGTCAAAATAGTAAAAAGAAAGGTTACCTGAATTTAGCACGTTACAAAATTTCGCTTTATGTTTGTAACTAACCTTGTTGTTCGTATAAAGACCTCGTTTCCCTTCGTTTCAGAATTACTCAAAGTGAAATACTTTGCGTCATCTAAAATAATGATTTTTCCATTGGCAAAGTGTACCTGCCTCAGTTGACAACAGCATTTTGGTATACGAAGGAGTTGGGCTTAAGATTATTTAGGGTACCTAAGTCTCTTTCGATATTTAAGACCATTTCTCCTCAATTCCAACGATATCGTACTCTTAGAAGATCTGCATTGACGAGCCAGTCTCCTTGTTGACATTCCAACCTGATTTTGGTACGTGGTCTTCCACTTTTTGGAGATTCAGACATTGCATACCCTGCTCGCAAGCAGCTATTGTTCGATAAATGCTTCTGCGTGACATACGTTATGTGCCCGAACAGTTTGTTGATTCTGTAGTAATTGTTATTTGGAAACAATGTATGGGGCTACTAGTACTAGCTAGCCAGCCAGTTGCAAACATAAAATTGCTTTTAAAAAACATTAGGTAATGGACTTGATTTATATATATTACATTTTAACGTAAATGTAACGTTAGTAGTTCAGAACTTCAAAAATGGCGGCTGGGCGCCACATTGATTTTTTCTTGTACAGAATGGAAATCTTATGATATATCATTTTCAAGCTCCTCATTATAACCATAAAATATGAATATACTGTCTTTCAAAGCGGCCGATTGACGGGCTGTCAAAGTTGAGGGTTTTCGTCCGTTGAATCGATTATAACTCAACAACTAATCATCGAAACGTTATAGTATGTTATATCAATCTTATTCCCTTGGAAAGGTTCATATGAATGTGCAATAGAATACGGGAAATTCAATTAAAAAAATCTTTCTAAATAAAATTTCCATATTTTATTACATAATTGAATAGATCCTTCTAAGATTTGAAATGTGATATAACATAATATGGCATTTTAATGATTAATCGTGGATAGATATCTCCCAAACGCCATTTGAAATGTTCACTGCAACAATATAGTATTCGTGTATCAATTTCACTATATCGAAATTTAGCTTGATAACTTGACCCGTTCGAAAAATATTTAGGGGAGGGTCCTTCGCAGTTAACTCCTTATGCAATTTAATGCTCCTAGATCGTAGACTAAAACGCATATTCTGTTTTAGTTAATGTAAAAACTGTGTCAGGGTATCATTCGGTTCGGCTTTCAGAGTTCAGGTTGCCGAGGAAGTGAGGATTCCTTTTTTGCGATTGTATAGGAAGTTTGCCGACAAATCATTCGACGTGATGAAAGTCTTGCTTGCAATCTGCAGTATCTATAATTAAAATCAACATTCTGGTGCAAATAATGTTGCGAACTTTTAAACACCATTTATATCAAATGTATATGATGCTTCATCAAAAATTACCATACAGCCGCTCTGCAGCAAACTGCATTTTTTCTATTTATGGCAGACATATCAATCATTTGGCTCCAATAATTGAATTATTTTCACATCAGCACCTGACAAGCTCATGAATATTTATTAGCGTTTTTAATTTCCTGCAAGGGGGCATACCCATCAGCTTGTCTAAAAACCGTTTTTAAATACGAATAAACTGATGTGCGTTCGTTTGCAGACATACATAGGCGGAAGCAAGATACCCTTTAATGTTAGAACAAAACAGTTATAAACTCTCACTATTACGAAAACTTTTTCAATATTACCGATAAATCTGATCTGCCTGCTCTTCTGAGGAAACCTTCGTCCAATGGCCTTTCATGATCGACGGGCTGTTCACATCGTCCTGCAGTCTCAATGCGGGTGCTTCCCAAGGAAAGGTGTTGACTGCAATATTGCTTCTGTAATGGAATAAATTATCTTCATTCCTGTAAAATACACATATGCGATTCTCATTTTCGCAGAGCACTCGGAGTGTTAGAAGTTTGAGACGCATTATTTTCGTACAACGTAGTGTCTCTAATACATAGTATTACTGTACCTATCTTAACCTATGAGAAGACCTAATCGATTGTCAAGGACAAGCCGTTCGTTCTAGTTTGTCGCGTTCCAGATTACTTAAGCACATCTTATCAGCCGCAGTGGCTGTTGGGCTGAAACTAAGCTATCGGTTTAGAGCTAAGTATTTTCCGCTACTTACCTTCGAACTCTGTACAAAGTCGTGTCGCACGGGTATTACGTATCTTGAAAAGTGACACTATGCCGATCTTTTGGACACTGTGTTGTTTTTTTGTGACATTATGTAGAATTTCCACAAGATGTTAACTTAGCACTAGCTGATGGACACGTTGCGAACTCGTTTTGTAGTTGTACGTGTTGCCTAAACATCATTAGGCTTGAGTTATCAATGTTTGGCCCTGATGTGTTGTAAAATCTGCTTCAGAGATCGCTGGAGGTAACGGCAATGCATAGATGCATAGTACGTATTTGTGTGCAAATGTGTTGATGATAACTCCATTGGATTCTCGTCTCAAATACCTTACTTGAGATTCAAAGTCAGAAATTAGTGGCGCATCCACTTTTTGTTATCCATTCTGGAAATTACATATGCAAATTTGCTGAATTTCAAAGATGAGAGACATAAAAAATAATTATATTCACTGTATGTACACTGTCAAATTACAAGTCATATACTCGTATATGCTAACGTGATTTCTCATAATTCTCCTCAAAGTTTCTGAAAACACAGAGAACGTCAAAAATCGTAATTTATAACTTTGAACATGACTTGTCTTCAGAAAGGGCAACATATAAATAACCCGTCGGGCACAGCTTATAAATATACTACATTCAAACAACTTTCTTCTCAGATATGGAAACTAGAGACTACTCGGCTTCAAAAAATATATGCAACCAACAATGCATGTAGTTGAGCCATTCCTCCATAGATGGACGCTCACAACGACCCTAGTGAGCAAACGTGGAATGACTGTTCGCACCCTAAGCACTGGTCTGCAAGATGACATTTTGTAGTTTTTTTAAGTTTAATTGGTTTTTTACATAACACCCGTGCGCACATGTATTACGTATCTTGAAAAGTGACATTTTGTCGATTTTTTTATATTGTATTAGTTTTTTATGACATTATGTAGGTTTTTCTACAAGATGTTAGCACTAGCTGATGTACATCTGTAAGTTCGTTTTGTAGTTGTATGTGCTGCCTAAACGAGATGAGGTATCAGTTATCAATGTTTCGCTCTGATGTGTGGCAAAATCTGCTTCAGAGATGGTATTACAGGAAGTATACTATAGCTAGAAGGAAGCGGCAACGTATAAGGTGCATAGTGAGAACTTGTGTGCTGATAATATGTGTTGATGACAAAACCATTGGATTCTTGTCTCAAATACACTTACTTGTGAGATTCAAAGCTAGAAGTTAGTTGCGCATCCACTTTTTCTTATCCATTCTGGAAATTGCATATGCAAATTTGCTGAATTTCAGAAGTGAGAGATATAAGAACAGAAAATCCCTGATTGGTGAAGGAACCGGTGAGAAAATATGCTGCAGACAGAAATATTTATGAAAGTGAAAATGTTTTGACATTATTTTCTATTTCCAGTCATTCAAATTTTATAGAATTCATTTCGCGATGTCAATAGAAAATACAAATCAGCGCCTAGATGTGACGGATTGCGAAAATGTTTGATGTGTGATGCGTCATTCCTAATTTCCTGTGGTGTGGATTGATTGTACATAGCGCGGGCGTGGTGGCGATTTTCCATAGTGCCCCTCAACGGTTTTGAAAACACAAAAAATGGGAAACTCCGTAATCTAGAGCTTTGAACATAAATTTTTTTTCAAAAAGGACAACATATAAATAACCCGTCGGGCGCAGCTAATAGATATACTTTATTGGCAGCATATTCAGTAATAATTTCATACACATGCTGACCAATGCACATAATCATCCAGATGCGATCTTGCTATTCAACCAACTTTCTTTCATTCGCTTCTTCTCATAAATACTACAGACTACACGGATTCACAAAACATATACTTGCTTTCTGCAACCGACAATGCATGTAGTTCAGGTCATTCCTCCATAGATGGACGCTCATAGCGATCATAGCGAGCAAACGTGGAATGAACTATTTAATAATAATAATAATAATAATAATATAATTTATTCGGTATCCACTATTACAACTGCATGTAACACAATATACTAGAATAAAATTACCCACAGAGAGGTTCATATATTCCTTGGTGGTGAATGCTAACTAATTACAGTAACTGAAAATATAAATAGACAAATAAAAGTATGCAAAATAAGGAAAATCTAAGTTTTAATTATTATCAGTGATACGATACACAAACACATACACAAAAAATACATGTGTAGGAACGATACAATGATTGATTTCATGAGATTATGAGCTGGTAAGTACATTTAGGATGCATCTTGTCTATTTCACATCATCGATTTCATTATTATGTCTCAATTAGGGACTAGATTTGTCATAGTTACGTATTTTGTTGTTCCATTATTTTAGATAGCTGTTCTTTATATCAATCGCATTATGAAATAATGACCGATTTGTTCACAGTAACCATTTCAGTCAGTTTTGAATCTATTCATATTGTTGTTCTTCTTTATTTCTGGTGGTAGTAAATTATAAGATCTTGGGGCTAAGAATGCGTATGATCTTTGTAATATGTTTTTTCTGGTAATGGCACTCGTAAGTTGTCTTTGTTTCTTCTGTCGTAACTATACGTGATATAATTTACTATGACCTTGTTTTTGTGTTGTTCTGTAACGATCTGGAGGAGTTATGCTTGTCAAATGTCAAGTATCTTAGTTTCTAGATAGATCATATTGCTAGGTCGATTTTGTATTGTCTTGAGCTTCAGTTTCTGGATTTTATCCAGTTGATCTACGAGTATATGAGTCTTGTTAGCAGATCCCCAAACTGATATATCATAATATATTATTCTAAGTTGATGTACGGTTATGTAATGCTTAAGATGTCGAATTTTATAGATAAGAAATCTCAATTTTCTCACTACATGTTCAATGTGAGTGTCCCAACGAAGGTGTGCATCTATAAGAACCCCTAAATATTTTATCTTCATGGTTTTGGTAATTGTTTCATTACTGATATTTAGCTGTTCCTAGGGTATTTGGGATGGGATGAAAACATCATAAAATATGTTTTGTCGTAGTGGTTAGTAAGCGAGATCTGAACCAATGTACGATTTTACTAAAATCTTGGTCACATGTTACCTCAACTTCTCAATTTTTTGCTTTATAAATGACGACAGTGTCACCCACAGAACTTATTATTTCACCAACTGTTGGTAGGCTGTACAGGTCGTTAACATATATATTGAATAACATCGGTCCTAAAACCACACACCTAAGCTACGGAGTCGGTTATCTTCCCAAACAAATAAATTAGTAATGATGGATCCCTCGGGTACTAAGAATTACTCTCGGAATATCCAGATGGAGGGTGGAGTCGAGGGAACAACATCGAAGATAACATTCGTTTCACGAACATCTGCGAGATTAACAGCGATATTGATGCTGTTCATCATTACTTGCAATCCAATCGTCCCGCCATGCTTCTCTTGGCGGAGACAAAAATCGCAGAGTCCGCACCGATTAACCATCTTGGCTTCCCAAATTACCAGGTGCACTTCAATCTGAGAAAGAACAGAGGAGTAGTGGCTTTTGTCTAGAGCAGTCTTACCTGCTCCAGAGACGTTTCTTTGGAGTCAGATCGGAAAGACATTATGTGGCTTCGCCTTAACTCCAAAACATCCCCCAAATTTATTTGCTGCCTTTATCGCTCTCCCTCGGACCAAAACTGGGATGACGTACTTGAATACCTCGCCATCAAGAACGACTTCACCCTTCAACTCGCTTCAGAGGTAGTTCTCCTCGGTGACTTCAATGCCCATAATGAGCTTTCGTTGGGCTCAAACCCGACCGATGCAACAGGTCATGCAGTCGCCCTACTTTCTTCCCCCGTGTCTCGTAACATATCAGTAGCCTGATGTATCTCTTTTCGACCACGCATCCTGTCACCTACAGCACTGCTGTCCTGTCTCCCCCTGGGCAACTCAGACCACGGTGCTGTGGAGGTTAGGTTTCAGTCAGAACACGCTATGGCCGCAGACCGCCAAAGTCAGCCTCACAGACATGTTGAGTGGGAGGCGCTCAGAGACTTCTCTACCTTTCCTTGCAGGGATGTTTGTTTCGCTGACGCAGATGCGTCGGCTGTCTGTTCCTCGATAATCGAAATTATCCATGCGGGTATGGAGGAATAAATTCCTTATACAGTGAAAGTGCATAAACCAGGATCCAAGGGCTGGTTTAACAAATCGTGTGACGCCGCTCACCAGCAGAAGATCAAGGCTCACAGAGCCTTCTTACAAAACCCCACTGAGGAGAACATACAAGCCG